TCAGCTCCCACCTGCCTCCCCCAAAGTAAGAGACCACAGATTCTCAGGATGGCTGACAGGGCCGTGGAGAGAGAAGTAAGTTGTTTTTGTCCAGGACTTTGAACTCTGTGTCTAGTCCCATGACGGCTGAGTCAATAGATGTAAGATTAACAGCAATTAGACCTACCTAGCAGAAAAAAAAAAAAAACCTAGCAAAAAAAAAATACTTTGCTAAAATCTGGGCTAACCAATAACATTATGATTCACCAGTCAAATTTTGTGTTTTCACTCCGATGGAATGGAATGTCCAAATCTAAACAACCTGACTCGCTTGTTTTCAGAATGCATCATAACAAACATTGGCAAAAATATGTTCTACTTAAAAAACAAACAAACATAGTTTCAGTTGCTTTCATACAGAAATAAAGAGAGATCACTCCCGTATCTAGAAGAAGCTCGGAAGAAGTCGGCAACTTTACATGGTCACAGATCCTCAGGGTCACTGAATTCCAACACATAATGGATTACAATCACCCAAACAGATTTTCAGAAATATTGAGAGTTTGGGGAAGGGTGGCTGTGGGATCTATTTTCCCAAAAACTCCTCAGCTCATTCTTGGGCATTGCTCATCTGACCCAACTACTGATTTACATGGTGACTGATTTTCTTCAGAATTTTATTGCGAAATTGTGGTAGAGAGACAAGACGGGCCAGAGAGATGGTTTCAGTTCTTGGTCACCCACCGGCAGGGTGACCTTATATGCACCCCTCATCCTTCCTGAGCCCCCCTCTAACTCTGGAAAGGGCTTCTAGCTCCCACAGCTCAGCAGTGCCTGAGTTATGGGCTCTGGCTGTAAGACCATTAGCAAATGGAACATCTCCCCGTGACATACGGGAAAGGACGCGTGAGTCAGCCTGGGAAAGTTTTAAATTCTAAACAAATGAGAAAGAGAAAGAGAAAGAGAACGAAAACAAATATTGGAGTCCAAATACTGTCACCCACACATTTATCAACATCAATTGTTTTTCCTGTTTATGTTTTGAGGTGATTATGCGTCTCTTTTAAAGGTTCCTGTTTTTGCCCTGACTGGTTTGGCTCAGTGGATAGAGCATCAGCCTGCGGACTGAAAGGTCCCAGGTTCGATTCCAGCCAAGGGCATGTACCTTGCTTGCGGGCACATCCCCAGTAGGAGGTGTGCAAGAGGCAGCTGATCGATGTTTCTCTCTCATCTATGTTTCTAACTCTCTATCCCTCTCTCTTCCTCTCTGTAAAAAATCAATAAAATATATAAAAAAATTTTTTAAAGGTTCCTGTTTTAAAATATATATATATATATTTTTATCAGTTTCCAAGAGGAAGGGAGAGGGAGAGAGAAACATCAATGATGAGAGAGAATCATTGACCGGTTGCCTCCTGCACGCCCCCTACTGGGGACCGAGCCCGCAACCCGGGCATGTGCCCTTGCCCGGAATCGAACCCAGGACCTTTCAGTCTGCAGGCTGAAGTTCTAACCACTGACAGTTCCTACATTGGTTAGTTTTGTCTTGAAGAGGGAACTTCAGCTCCCTCTTACCCTCTTTTGAAATCCTGGACCACTGTCCCCCCACACGTCTACCATGCCCTGCTTCCTGCGGTTCCCTTCATCTGAGCCCCCTCCCACTCATCTCCATGCCAACCCCAACATGTGATGGGTGTGGTCCCCAGGGTGCCCGTCCCGGCCCCTCAGGCTCCAGCACTCCGTGGTCACTGCTTGGGTACAGGTGTCCAGCTTCCCTTCCTCCCAAGGCCCTGTTTGAGGATTCAAGTTATTCATCCTTATAGCCACTGCCTGACATCTGAGCACTATCAATTTTGACCTCAAATGAAACCCACCATTTTAAACATTTTATAGTACTTTAAGTTGTCATATTCAGCCCTGGCTGGTTTGGCTCAGTGGATAGAGCGTCGTCCTGTGGACTGAAGGGTCCCAGGTTCAATTCTGGTCAAGGGCACACGCCTGGGTTGCAGGCTCGATCCCCAATAGGGGGCATGCAGGAGGCAGCCAATTATTGATTCTCTCTCATCATTGATGTTTCTATCTCTCTCCCTCTCCCTTCCTCTTTGAAATCAATAATATATATTATTATGTATATATATTATTATTTAATATATATTATATATAATACATATATTATATATAATAATATATTATAGCCCTAACCGGTTTGGCTCAGTAGATAGAGCGTCAGCCTGCGGACTCAAGGGTCCTGGGTTCGATTCTGGTCAAGGGCATGTACCTTGGTTGCGGGCACATCCCCAGTAGGGAGTGTGCAGGAGGCAGCTGATCGATGTTTCTAACTCTCTATCCCTCTTCCTTCCTCTCTGTAAAAAATCAATAAAATATATTTTAAATAAAATAAAAAAATATATATTATATATATTATTATTTAATATATATATTAAAGTTGTCATTTTCCGTAACCTAGTGGTTACAAATTAGAACTCTAGCCCAGCTCGCCGGAGCATTGGGCCTGCTCTGAGCCTTCCCTTGCTGGCTGCGCAGTGAGTGGGGTGGCTTCGCTGCTCAGGGTCACGGGCACAGCTGGGCACACTGCTCCGTCTCTCACTGTCACTTACCATGGCTCACATCCCCGTGACCTGTTCCTTTCGCCTCCAGGTCACCCTCCTGTGTGTTTAGTTGAGTCACCTTAAATGGCAAACATTTTGTTGACTTCCCCCAATACCAGTGTATCTATCACACATTGAAAATTGGGGACAGATTCAAGAGACAATGGGCCAGGACGGTGCTCCTGTTTTCCAAAAGTGCAAGGCTGAAATGTTAACCGAGCTGTCTAAGGTCTGAGGACTCCAGGGAAAAACTCTGCCGTCTCACTGGTGACTTCTGCCTTCTAACTGCTTTATGTGAACGGACGCGGTCGTATCAAGTGGCCGGCAAAGCTCAGAGAGAGCGTTCTCAGTCTCTGCGGCCCTTTCTCCGTCGTAGTCACCCCACCCCGGAGGGAATTTCACTGTAAACTTGAACCAGTGAGCGTGGGAAGAAGGGAACGTTTGCAAGGTTCTCTGGAGGGCCCCCGACCAGCACTGCCAGCGTGGAGCTGGCCTTGGACCTGAACACAGGTGCTGTCTGCGCCTTCATCCAAGTGCCCGCGGGGCCTGCGGCCTTGCGCGGTCCGCCCACACCTTGCATCTCGGCCTTCCCACAACAAGGCTAATTCTCGGTGTGAAATCAAATGGAGCTGGCTGACCCCGAGCAGGAGGAAGGGTCATGGCCGTGCATGGCAAAGCCCCTGTCTATATCCCAAGCTAACCCCGAAACACCCACTCATCGGCAGACCTGGATTATAATCGGTACGGGGTTCTCGCTTAATAACTGGTCCTGTTGGCTGTGTAGTATTATATTCAATATGCATAACAGTCGGAGTTAATTTTTCACCTCTTTTTCCACCTCTGCCCAAGGAGTACACAGCCTGACTTTTGTGATATACCCAAAATAGATGGATGTATTTTTTGCTTAGTTCGTTTTCAGTCAAATTTAATATTGGTATCTGATGTTAGCATAATAGTGTACTGATGTTAGCATACCCTCGCTAGTATAAGAGTGGGTGGTATCTATACAAATGTTTATGTATATACATATAAGTGTGTGTACACATGTTTATGTATATGCATACATGTGTCCAAATGTTTATGTACATACTCATAAGTGTGTGTACACATGTTTATGTATATGCATGCATGCATGTGTCCAAATGTTTATGTACATACTCATAAGTGTGTGTACACATGTTTATGTATATGCATGCATGTATGTATCCAAATGTTTATGTACATACTCATGAGTGTGTGTACACATGTTTATGTATATGCATGATGCATGTGTCCAAATGTTTATGTACATACTCATAAGTGTGTGTACACATGTTTATGTATATGCATGATGTATGTGTCCAAATGTTTATGTACATACACATGTGTGTGCACGTTTATGTCTATACATATGTGTGTACAAATGTTTATGTATATACACATAAGTGTGTGTATATACACATAAGTGTGTGTACACGTTTATGTATATACATATATGTGTGTGTACAAATGTTTATGGATACACACGTACGTGTATGTGCACACGTTTATGCATATGGGAGCGCTGGGCTCTCACTTTCTGCTTGGTACTTGTGTAATTGTCTGTTTGAAGACAGAAGCTATATACGTGGTGAAACTTGGTACAAACTGACTCAAATTTTAATTCTCGAAACCTCCGTTCAGTGAACTCTCTGGCGTACACCAGCTATTACAGCCAGGGAAACCTCCTTTTTAAAAAACTTCTGATGGAGGTGGTGACACTTCTTGACCGAGTCCTAACCTTCGTCAAAATCAAATGTGTTCTCCTTCTTAGGTGAAGGCACCCTCCTACTGCAGCCCGGAAAACACGAATTCCCATTTAGCTTTCAACTTCCATCCGAGTAAGTGCGACAACGGTAACTTTTTAAAATTTTCTTCCCTGCCCCACGTCCATCCACACGTGAGGGTACAGTCCCTTCCGGCTCTCGGGTGTGCTCGCTTATCCTGAAGAACCCCCAGACAGACCCGCCCCGGCTCAGGCTCACGGGCACGCCCGGGCACACCTGGGCCCGCCCCTGCTCTCACTCATTTTTCTTTTAACCGAACCAACATGCTAAGAGCTTTGCCTGGCGTGTGTGTGTGTGTGTGTGTGTGTGTGTTTGTGTATGTGTTTTTTTAATCTTTATTGTTGCAAGTATTACATAGGTGCTCCCTCCCCCGCTCCCCCTTAACCTCCTCCAGCCCAGCCCGCTCTGGTGTGGTTACCTGAGCAATAAGCTTAGACATTCATGTCTCTGGCTGCGCTCAGGCTCTTGGTCACGTCCTTCAGCGGGAAGTACGGAGGCATTCAGTACTGCGTGAGGGCGGTCTTGGAGAGGCCCAGGCTCCCCGAGCAGAGTGTCAGGCGGGAACTCCAGGTGATCAGTCACATCGATGTCAACACGCCGGCATTACTCGTAAGTCCTTCCTCCTTCCTTCCCGCCCCTGCCCTCCCTTCCTCCTTCCTCTCGTGGTGGAATCCACGCCGAGCCAGTTTAGGGCTCGTCTGCCCTGTCCCTTTCCCGATACGATCTCGTAACCCCGTGGTCGGCAAACTGCGGCTCGCGAGCCACATGCGGCTCTTTGGCCCCTTGAGTGTGGCTCTTCCTAAGCCTTAGGACAGTGATGGCGAACCTATGACACACGTGTCAGAGGTGACACGCGAACTCATTTTTTTGGTTGATTTTTCTTTGTTAAATGGCATTTAAATATATAAAATAAATATCAAGAATATAAGTCTTGCCGAAGCCGGTTTGGCTCGGTGGATAGAGCGTCAGCCTGCGGACTGAAGGGTCCCAGGTTCGATTCCGGTCAAGGGCATGTACCTGGGTTGCGGGCACATCCCCAGGGGGGGATGTGCAGGAGGCAGCTGATCGATGTTTCTCTCTCATCGATGTTTCTGGCTCTCTATCTCTCTCCCTTCCTCTCTGTAAAAAATCAATAGAATATATTTTTTTTAAAAAAAGAATATAAGTCTTTGTTTTACTATGGTTGCAAATATCAAAAAATTTCTATGTGACACGGCACCAGAGTTAAGTTAGGGCTTTTCAAAATGCTGACACGCCGAGCTCAAAAGGTTCGCCATCACTGCCTTAGGAGTTACCCTAATGAAATTCATAACAATGTACCTACCTATATAGTTTCAGTTTAAAAAATTTGGCTCTCAAAAGAAATTTCAACCATTGTACTGTTGATATTTGGCTTTGTTGACTAATGAGTTTGCCGACCACTGTACCCATAGGCATTCATCCTACACCTGTGCTCCGAGGTTGAGCAAATGACAAATCGCGTGTGTGAACGCTATGGGCCGCTTCTGCCAACCGGTGACGCAGGCCGGGGACGCACGGATAAGGCTTATTAATAATAATAACGCGGACCCGGAGAGCTGTCACTTCCCCCAGAGCCGCCACACGCACGGGGCTCCACCCTCCCGTAATAGCAGGTTGGGGAGCAGCAATTACGCAAGAGTATTAATCACGCGCAGCCTGTGATTGAGGCCCGGGCCATTATGCTGTGCACCCGGCCCTCTCGCGTGTCATTTGCTAACACGAAGTACGCGCATGCAGCTGTGTGGGGATCCTTTCACTGATCATCTCCTTCTGACAGATCTGGCCGCGTGACAGCATTGAACTTCTAATAACCACCCGGAATACCGCAGCCCGAGGAGAAAGATTGGGGCATAAGTAACAAGGGAATGGCCGCGACGGGGGCTAATGAGCGAGGTTCTTTTATCTAAACCCACATTATCAAAATCATATAAAATTATACCTTGTGCTTTCATGATAGCTGCTGGGACCTAATGGTTCTTCATTTCAATATGAATGATTTTTTTTTTTTTTTTACTTCATAAAACATACTGGGGTCATTCAAACTTTTCATCATGACACTGGCCACAAAGATGTTATTTTAATATGGGAGGTTTCTTTTTTTTTTTTTTTAGCTAATGCTTTTAAAGATAAGGGGGAAAGCCAGGAGTTAGAGGAGTTGTTTAACTCTATTTTCGCATGAAAATGGAATAGAATTTACTCTAATGTTCACCTTTAGATTGTGAAAATATTAACAGATATGCCCTGTTTGAGACCCACATTTGAGACCCAAATCATAAACGAACCGGCACCCAGCGATCGGTTTATAGCTATGGCTTACCCCCAGCTTAACACCTTTGAAAACTGACAATGCTACGTGTCTTGTATTTTTAAAAACTAATTCGAATTGGAAGATAAACTGTTTATGGGGCCATTGTGGCAAATGATTTAAAGAGCTTTTCTTTTTTGCAAAAAAAAAAAAGAGATACTATTATCCTTTATTATTCTTTCTTTTTAAAAAATATATTTTTATTGGTTTCAGAGAGGAAGGGAGAGGGAGAGAGATATAGAAACATCAGTGATGAGAAAGAATCATGGATCAGCTGCCTCCTGCACACCCCTTACTGGGGATCGAACCCTCAACCCAGGCATGTGCCCTTGGCGGGAATCGAACCTGGGACCCTTCAGTCTGCAGGCCGACGCTCCACTGAGCCAACCCAGCTAGGGCTACTATTCTTTCTATAAACAAAGAAGAAAAACATTGTAACGTTGGGCTTTACAATGAACGTGTGATCTGAGCATCTTGTAACCCGAGCCTTTTGAGTCTCGTATCATTTCCTTTGCCGCTTGTGGATTGGAACGTGCAGTGGTGTGTTCATAACCATTTGATCCTTAACCCTGGGTGTGTTTTCCTGCCATTACACCAAAACCACAAGCCATTCTACGTTAAAAACACTGGAAATATCTGCCTAACAATGCATTTTGAAGGAAGTGGGGAGGAAAAAAGGGCAGTTGGCTTATCCCACAGTGTACACGCCAAAACACAGAACATGATGATTATTGATTTTTCTGCCATTTCTCCTTTGACCTGATCTCCGTATAAAGTCTTAAAATAAAATAGTAGTTCTCACATGTTAACAGGGGTGACTAGAGGTGCTAGTTGCTTTTGTAAGGGATGGTATAGCATTTCCCGGAAACATAATGACTAGGATGGTCCCACCCTAACGTGAATCTGAACATTCACCTGAGTTTTCCTAAAAAGGGAATGATTTTCAGTGCTTCCTGTTTCAGTAAGTATTCTACCTAAAATGTCACGGGAGATCAGAGAGGTTGATCTGCCTTTTGGAAGACATTCCTTTACAACTCCGTCAGGAAGAATAACATCATTTTCTAAGTTTTGTGATTTTCCTGGACTGGTGTAATTAAAGCTGTTTTATTATTTGGAATTTCCAAGAGCCCCGTATTGAAAACTCAAGAGAAAATGGTTGGCTGCTGGTTTTTCACGTCGGGCCCCGTCTCGCTGAGTGCCAAAATCGAAAGGAAGGGATATTGTAACGGTAAGCACGATGTTTGGAAAGTTCACATGGCAAATGCATTCATTTTATTCGCTAAATTTAAGTGATTTTAAATAATGTGTTTTTGTCATTTCTGAAGTATACACTATTTTAAAACATGAATAATAAATGTTGCTGTTTTTAATGTAAATAATTGATATGTAGCCCGGCCGGCGTGGCTCAGTGGTTGAGCGTCGACCTATGAACCAGGAGGTCACGGTTTGATTCCCGGTCCAGGGCACATGCCTGGGTCACGGGCTCGATCCCCAGTAGGGGGAGTGCAGGAGGCAGCTGGTCAATGATTCTCTCTCATCATTGATGTTTCTATCTCTCTCTCCCTCTCCCTTCCTCTCTGAAGTCAATAAAAATATATATTTTTTAAAAGTAAATAACTGATATTTAAATATTTTTGAGTGGACAAGTAGATTCCAATAAAACGCCAGGTATTCCTGACATCAGTCCCGTTACTCTTACGCCTGGGAAAGTGGGTAAATACTGGCGTCTTGTTTTCATGTGAAAGAATGTCCACAGCAGTGTTGCTCAGAGGAGAGCTCTTATACGAAAGCGTTGCTGGGCATTCTGATTCCACGCTGGGAATACAAACACTTGGGGTTGGAATGTAGGACACCGGCCAGCTTAACAGTCCGCTGATATCAGAGCTCCCACGTGAAGGGCCCGATTCCGTTCCAGGGATCTGGCCCCCACCCCCCCGGGGTCCGGGCTTATCGGAAATGAAGCGGGGATGGTAGGTAGGATGGTGGGCGTACATGTGCATGGAAAACTTGCCCACCATGCATTGTTTTATTCGTGCCTGACCATCCAGTCCTTAAATAAGGCTCCGTTCTTGGGGGTAGGGGGTGGGGGGCAGATTTAATTGGGGGGCACTGAGCTTGTCAATGATCTTTTGTACTTAATATGGCATTCAATCATTAACTTGTCTGTCTTATCTTAATTTTTAAAGATATTAGTCATTTACATCACTTTAGAACTGATAACCTAATATCACAACATTAGAAAGTGAATAATCTATAATAGTAAAAGGGTAATATGCTAATTAGACCAGAGGACCTTCCAGACGAAGCCAGGCTGCAAGGGAAGCCCTGATCCCGGGTGCTAGAGGGAAGCCAGTGCTGGCAGCTGGGGTAAGGAAGGCCTACTCTTGAATGAATTTCATGCATCAGGCCTCTAGTCCTATACAATAAAAGGCTAATATGCAAATTGTCCCCTTGATGGGGAGTTCAACCAGGAGATCGACCAGGGGACGGAGACGGCTAGCCAACCACCCACAGCCCCTCCCTCCCGGTTGGCCCCGCCCCCAACCCCCCCAACCTGTGCATGAATTCGTGCACCGGGCCTCGAGTGCAATAAAACAACGTCCACCACAACCTGTAGTGAATTTTCATTCCTCCGACTCAGATTTACAATAAGTTTTCCATCGGGGCTTCTCAAAACTTGTTGCAGTTTTGTTGCGAACCTTCCAGCTTTCCTTGGTAACAGCTCTACTCCACCGTGGGGAGAACTTCCTGCAAGGTTTCTGAAGGTTTTGTGTGGGGTTTTTTTCCATTTTAGGAGAAGCTATTCCAATCTACGCAGAAATAGAGAACTGTTCCTCCCGCCTGGTCGTCCCCAAAGCTGCTATTTTCCAAACCCAGACGTACATGGCCAGCGGGAAAACGAAGACCGTCCGGCACATGGTCGCCAACGTGCGAGGAAACCACATCGCTTCTGGGAGCACCGACACGTGGAACGGGAAGATGCTGAAAATCCCGCCCCTCCCGCCGTCCATCCTGGACTGCTGCATCATCAGAGTGGAATACTCCCTGGCGGTAAGCAGAGCTCTCGGCAAAACCAGCAGTGTGCCGAATGGAGCAGTGCCGGCGCCATGGGCCTGGGACTATGCACACTTGATACCTAGGGAACTGGCATTTCAGGGCAGCAGCACTGCACCAAACTGTGGACCCTACAAGCAAAACTATCCCCCTACAGCAGCGGTTCTCAACCTGTGGGTCGCGACACCTTTGGGGGTCGAACGACCCTTTCACAGGGGTCACCTAAGACCATCAGAAAACACATAGATAATTACATATTGTTTTTGTGATGAATCACTATGCTTTAATTATGTTCAATTTGTAACAATGAAAATACATCCTGCATATCAGATATTTACATGACGATTCATAACAGTAGCAAAATGACAGTGATGAAGTAGCAACGAAAATAATTTTATGGTTGGGGGTCACCACAACATGAGGAACTGTATGAAAGGGTCGTGGCATGAGGAAGGTTGAGAACCACTGCCCTACGGGATTTAATTAAATGACATGAAAGAATTCAGGTGCATGGCGGGTGCTTGTTGTATTGAAGGACACGAACTTCCTCTTCTATGGTTATTACGTAAGCCACGCTCACTAGCAGTGAAGTGTGTTAAGGCCACGGTTCCCCGTCCCTGAGTGCTCACAGTAGGTGGTGCACTCCTCCTGCCGTCTGGTCTGTCCTTCGATTTATTGGGTCTCGACAATGGACAATTGTATGGCGGGGCGGTGGCAGGCGACAAAGGCATTTGTTTCTATGAAAAAAATAAATGGAATCAGCTGTTTCTGTAAGGGTTAACTTGGTTGGTGCCTTTTCTTGTTTTTAAAAACATATTTTATTGATTTCAAAGAGGAAGGAAGAAGGAGAGAGAAACACCAATGATGAGAATCATTGATCGGCTGCCTCCTGCACACCCCCTTCTGGGGATGGAGCTCGCAACCCAGGCATGTGCCCTAGACCGGAATCGAACTCAGGACCCTTCAGTCCCTAGGCCAGCCGTGGGCAAACTACGGCCCGCGGGCCGGATCCGGCCCGTTTGAAATGAGTAAAACTAAAAAAAAAAAAAGACCGTACCCTTTTATGTAATGATGTTTACTTTGAATTTATATTAGTTCACACAAACACTCCATCCATGCTTTTGTTCCGGCCCTCCGGTCCAGTTTAAGAACCCATTGTGGCCCTCGAGTCAAAAAGTTTGCCCACCCCTGGCCTAGGCCGACGCTCTATCCACAGAGCCACACAGGCTAGGGTTGTTAGTGCCTTTCTATGTCTTTCATTTCCTTTTTCTTCTTTTTTTTTTTTGGCATAATAGGTGTATATTCACATCCCTGGTGCTAAAAAACTGATGCTGGAGCTGCCCCTGGTGATCGGGACGGTCCCGTACCACGGCTTTGCCAGCAGGAACTGCAGCATGGCCAGCCAGTTCAGCGTGGACATGAGCTGGTGGGCGCTGGCGCTGCCGGAACAGCCCGAAGGTAAAGGGCCTGGGGTTCTTGCAGGATGAAGCTTTGCACGCGAAGTACCTAAGCACAGGACGGGGAACAGAGTGAGGCCTCAGATGGGAATTCCTGCTGCCCCCAGAGCTACCCTTTCTCTTCCTCTTACTCAACCCATCAGACAGTTTTACGAGAAGCCACTGAGAGTGCAGCTTGCCCGGGAATAAAGTCTACATTTCCTGATTCTGGTGTAGAATAGTAAAGCAACGAAAGGGAGTCAGCATGAAAGTACAGGGTCATATATTTTCTGTAGCCACAGTTCTTTTTTTGGTTTTAAATATGTTTTTATTGGTTTCAGAGAGGACGAGAGAGGGGGGGAGAGAGAGAAACATCAATGATGAGAGAATCATGGATTGGCTGCCTCCTGCACGCCCCACATTGGGGATCGAGCCCACAACCCGGGCATGTGTCTTTTTTTTTTTTTAATATATTTTTATTGATTTTTTTTTTTTACAGAGAGGAAGGGAGAGGGATAGAGAGTTAGAAACATCGATGAGAGAGAAACATCGATCAGCTGCCTCCTGCACACCCCCTACTGGGGATGTGCCCGCAACCAAGGTACATGCCCTTGACCGGAATCGAACCTGGGACCCTTCAGTCCGCAGGCCGACGCTCTATCCACTGAGCCAAACTGTTTAGGGCCCAGGCATGTGTCTTGATGGGGAATTGAACTGTGACCTCCTGGTTCATAGGTTGACGCTCAACCACTGAGCCACGCCGGCCAGGCTGTAGCCACATTTCAATGATTTTTTTTTTTAAACCTAGACTATAATACACACCTCAAAAGAATAGAGTATCATCAATACTAGTCGTTTCATCCAAGCAGACTCTCCTAAATGCTTTTTGGTGCCATGTGCATAAAAACTTGCTGATCAGAGGGAAGGGCACCACTGCTTCATCATCAGCTCGAGAGAGACTTCTTGTTTCCCTAAGAGTTCAGAGGGGCTCGTGGAGTTGGGTTTTGCAGGGGTGTCTTAGTCCCGCCCCTTTCCGCTTCAGCCCCCCCAGATTACACGGACGTGGTGTCAGAAGAAGAAGTCTCCAGGCACGGCGCTCCTTACCCGCGGCCGCCCAGCTGGGAGGGAGAGGCCCGCTGCCCCGCCTTCGCCTGCATCCAGGACTTCCGGCTTCAGCCCCCACCTCTTTATTCCGAGGTAAACAGAGCAAAAGCAGGTCCATTCGACCTGCACCCTGCATTGTGCTCTCTGTGCAGGAGCCTTGGTCTGTGGCTAAGGCCTAGGTCAGTGGTTCTCAACCTTCCTAATGCCGCGACCCTTTCATACAGTTCCTCATGTTGTGGTGACCCCCAACCATAAAATTATTTTCCTTGCTACTTCATAACTGTCATGTTGCTCCTGTTATGAATCGTCATGTAAATATCTGATAGGCAGGATGTATTTTCACGGTTACAAATTGAACATCATTGAAGCATAGTGATTAATCACAAAAACAATATGTAATTATCTATGTGTTTTCCGATGCTTAGGGGACCCCTGTGAAAGGGTCGTTCGACCCCCAAAGGGGTCGAGACCCACAGGCTGAGAACCGCTGGTCTAGGTAGTAGGGGATCCATATTTAAAACAAGTTCGTGTGTTTGTTTACGGTGACGACAGATGACCACTGTGTCACCGGCCACCTTCTCCAATGGAGGACTTCCCTTGTGCTCCGTTAGCGCGTGGGACGTGGCCGAGGACCACGGAGCATCAAAGCGCCTCCCGGGACTTCGTGGTCGCCCCCCTCGCGTCCTTAGAAACAGGTCCCGCAGTCGCTGTCAGGTAGTCACCAGGCTGCTCTCTCTCTTGCAGGTCGATCCGCATCCCAGTCGCGTCGGGGAGGCCCAGCCTGTCTCCTTCATCCTCTGAACGTGACTCAGAAATCACTGTGACCCGCACCAGAGAGCGCCGGCTCGCTCTCCGCCGCCTTTCCTGGATGGAGGGAGGGACGATTCGCTTAAGAACATTAAGAGGTCGACACCAAGGAATTAAAAACTACGTGAACTTTCCAGGGCCCGAGGGGACTGTTGCCCGAGCTGATGGCAGGGCCGAGTGTCCCCGAGGAAGAGTGGGCGACCTTGGGAAGCCGCAGCAGCGTGTCACGCGAGTCCCGCTGGGGACCCAGTAAGCGAAGGGGCCTGGAAGGTGTGTGACCGGGGCAGCGTGCCTCCCGAGGGAGCTCAGAGCGGAGCAAAGGGATGCTGAGCTTCCGGGCTATGGGGGTGCGATAGGAAGGCACTTGATTTGGGAGAAGTTGGCGGCGCAGGGATGTGCAGGCCTGATTCCTCCCCGACCCCCTAGGACTCAAGTCCAGGAAAGACCTTTCCTGAGGTCGCAGTCCTGGGAGGTGATTGGGCGCTCACTCTCCCCCGGGGCTGGTTCGAGAGACAGGGTTTGTAAGTGGGAGGTGGAGTAGGATGCAGCGCAGCAAGCATCCCTCCCCAGGCCTGTCAATTCCAAGGGGAAAGATGAACTTCAACCCAGAAACCCGTCTGTGTTAGGCTGGGGTTTTTCCCCTCTTTAAGCACCTGGACAGGATACGTGTTTGGTTTCCCTCACGTCTTATTTATAGAAGCATGTCGGAAAGAGAAGCGGGGGGAGGATGTTGCATCCTTAGAAGGCCTTGATAACTATTCCAGAAAGAGAGGAAAAGAAGGTCTTTTCCTAACCTACCTCTAGGGGCGATCGGATTGGTTTGAAACCTCAGTCTGACAAGTTTTTGGAGGGTCTACGCGTTGCAGTGGGGTCTTCACCGCATCTGAAACCGCACCAGGGAAGAGGCCATACAGTTAGCGTTGGAGGAAGTTCGCGGATAAACATATATACCAAAGGGCATTTCAAAATAAATACAGAGTCAAAGAGGGTAGACATGCCATTTTTTTTTTTAAAGGCGTGGATTTCATTCCTGGCGGGACGACTTGGTGGCTCCTGATGACCGGCACCGCCTTGTACCGCGTTAGTCCAGTTCTTCAGCGATTCTGTTTCAACTGTGATCTCGCTTATTGTTTTGGTGCAATATCTGATTAGCATTGAACCTCAGGATAGTGAGACCAGCAGGCTAGTGCCGCTGCTAAAATTCTGAGGCGTGTTTTCCCTCTCCCCCTGGGCCCTGGCAGTCCTGGTCTCAGGGTCCCGTGCTCTGTCCTCCCGTCTGTCGGTTCTGTGGACTGGGAGCGAGTCTGGACAGGAGGGGACGGGAGGTGGGGTTCCTGCGACGGAGATTTGGGACCAGCCGAGGCCTTGGGTCTCCCCCAAATCCTAAGGTTTGATCTAGAAACCCGGTGCTTCATTCAACAGAACCGTTTACCCTTCCATCAGTGTGTTCGGTGAGGAATAGAAAAAAAAATTCTCTCCGGTTAAATTCTGAGTTAAAAAATGAGTCGGCCACCTGATCAGGGATTTTTCTACGGACATTAGATACATGTATGTTTTTTTTTCACCCCTCTCTTCTCCGTGGTCACGGAAGCTCACACGCATGTCTTTCTGTGGGAGCCACTGTTTAAAAACCGCCACGCAAGACGGTTACACCGACACGCGTGCGTGGGCCTGAAATTGTCCCAGCGTTCTGTCCCTGCCTGGGTTTCCGACTGCTCGTTTTGGTGTTCGCTGTGAGACAGGGATACGTGTTTAAGCACGGTCGGAACTGTTTCGGTTCTGCTTTTAAAGAGATCACCTTCCGCTGCTGGTTGAATTCTAAATTAGTTCACGCGCCTTGTCCAGACTCGGTCCGTCTCCACGACACCCAGATACAGTGAAGAGTGAAGTGGAACAGGGAGGAGGGCGAGAAGGTCTGAGTGTTTGGCTCCCGATCGAAAAGCCACGACTTCCTCTCCCCCCGGGGTTGCTTTCTCCTCTTGGTTGGAGGAATCATGACGCGAACCCAGAAAACGGAAGCACAGCTGACATAGCCCTGAAGACCTCACAAGTGGGGTTGGCCCTTTTCATTCCTATCAGTATGTCTGCCCTTCAGTGGGTAGAAACAGCATTCCTTTCCATATCAAGAGTTTATGAGTGTAGTTCATTCTACACGGGAACAGAGAATACTTGGCAATGAAGGTAAAAAGTTAGCTAGCTGTTGTATTTGCTTGCATAGCTCCTTGTTTAGTTTCCAAAGAAACCATGGCCTTAGAATTTTCTTTCTGATGCAAACATTTTGCAGTTGAAAATGTGAAACTTTTGGCACACAAAAAATCTTCTGTGGGTAGAACTTTTCTTTTTTTTCAATAAGAAACTCAATAGGCTGGGGGTTGTGTTTTTGATAAGTTGACGATGATGGCTTTTTTATTTTTATTAAAAATGTAGCAATTTAACCCACAGGAAAAAAAACACACAATGAAAATTGTATTTTGTATTCTTGTTTGAACCCTATGGGTTCCTTTTGTTAATAAAATGATCACACTGATGCTGGGAGTCGCTGGTTTGGTTTTGTTCTGTTCTGTTTGGGTGTGACTCTTACGTAAACTGTTACAGACTTAAGGGAAGTCGGTACCATAAAACCAACACGCACTGCAGTTAGGATGCCTTTGTGTCCAGAGGGTCCGACCCTGTTTATTTTTTATTTTATTTTTTGTTATTGTTCATCCTCACCCGAGGATATATTTCCACTGAAGAGGGAGAAACAGAGAGACAATCGATGTGAGAGAAACACATCGATTGGTTGCCTCCTACATGAGCCCTGACCAGGGCCCAGGCCAGGGGGGAGGCTGCAACCAAGGCACATGCCCTTGACTGGAATCGAACCCAGGACCCTTTGGTCCGCAGGCCGACGCTCTATCCACGGAGCCAAACCGGCTGTTAGGGCTTCTGAGCCTGTTACAAAGGGCTTGGTTTCCCCAACATCAGTGTAGGAGAAGCAGTTAAGAGGAGTAATACGTATAAGCTCTATGGGTGGATAACAGAGCATTATCTGCTTTTATCCCCAAATGTAGTGGCCACTTTTCAAAGCCCTGGATTGATTTAGTAGGTCTGGTGGGCAGTTGATGGGCCCCCCCACACTAGGGACACAGGCCTAAATAAATCTTCCCTTTCCACTGAATACTCACATAGACAAAAGCCATATGTGTTGTTTTGGGGAGGGTTGTTTTTTTAAATATATTTTTAATGATTTCAGAAAGGAAGGGAGAGGGAGAGAGAGATAGAAATGTCAATGATGTGAGGGAATCACTGATTGGCTGCCTTCTGCACGCCCCACACTGGGGATGGAGCCCACAACCTGGGCCTGTGCACTGACTGGGAATCGAACCGTGACCTCCTGGTTCATGGGTCGACGCTCAACCACTGAGCCACGCCAGCCAGGCAAGCCATCTGTTTTAATACAAGGAATTAGAAACCTGCCCAGACCCTCAGTCCTGGAAAATTAACCTTAGCCAAGAGGTAAAAATTACCCAGGCGTTTACTCCTCAAGCGTTGATACTGTGTGAGATGGTGTTCAATAAACCAATAATAAATATCGGTCGCATCCGCATTTGCAGTCACCATAAATGAAAACATTTGTCCCAGAACTATTCTCACATCGAGGCCACGTTCATTAGCGTTTCTGTAGTTCATATCGGAAAGTCGAGGGCTGTGAAATGTAGAACGGAGGCAGGACAGTCCAAAGAATCTAGGACAACGCCCTCGGGTTACAAATGAGAATACAGAAGCCTGAGGTGTAACCGGGAGGTTTGACCTACATTCCCTGCAAGAGCCTTGCTCCCTCTAAAATTTCCTGATGCCACGGCTTCCACAGAAGTCATGGAAACAGCGGCTGCTCTAAACCACACGGTTGAAGCCTCACAGACCTGATACTAAGCCCAGGCCGCGTCAAGTCTTCCCAGTTTGTATCTAAAAGCTTCATCAGTGCGTTTAATGAGTAGCTGGAACCCTTTCTTCAGCAGAGGGATTGGTTTCTAACTGTTATTTTGAAATCATTATAGACTCCCAAGAACAGCGGTTCTCAACCTGTGGGTCGCGACCCCTTTGGCAGTCGAAGGACCCTTTCACAGGGGTCGCCTAAGACCATCCTGCATAGCAGATATTTACATGACGATTCATCACAGTAGCAACATTGCAGTGATGAAGTAGCCACGAAAATAATTTTATGGTTGGGTCACAACATGAGGAACTGTATTTAAAGGGCCAGAAGGTTGAGAACCACTGTAATAACACAAGAGAAAATGCCAGGCCGCAGGGCAGCCTTTGCAGGAGAATTAGAGTCACATATACGGGAATTTCTGGGGACCACTGGCATCGCTCACAGAAGGCCCCACAACCCCGGTGTACTTATGGACTGTCCGTGAAAACAAACGATGCCTTTCACCCCACTCAGCGTCGCACCGTTGAGTCACGCATTCTTCCCCCTGCTGACTCTGGTGGTTTCTGAAACATTAAGTTGAGGAATTCGCTGGCACATAAACTCCCTGGGAATTCCCACAGCATTCCGGGCGCTTGCATTCACGGGAAATTTCCCATCCAGTCTGGGAAGAGGGTGCCATCTTCCCAGCCATATGGCACCAAGAAGGTGCCATAACAGGAGAGTGACCCTATGTATCCATCACCCAGTCCCGCCCAAAGGGAACCCCTTACGTAACTGTAATACATTCTCAAAACCAGGAAACGGTGTTGACACAATACGTACGATCAACCAGAGCTCAGGCCTTACGGGGATTTCACCGGGTTCTGAATGCACTCAATCGTTATTGTGTTGGTCTGTGTGCATGGTTCTGTGACATTTCATGACACGTGCAGCTTCGTATCATCACCGCAGTCAAGATAAGAACCTCCTTCCCACCAGGGAACTCCACCGCCCTGGGCAGTCACACCCGCCACTTCCCAACCCCTCATCGTCCGGTCCCCATCCCTATAATTTCATCATTTGGAGAATGCTACCTAAAAGGAGTCATTCCGTATGTACCTTCTCACTTGGCTTCTTCACTCAGCATAACACCCTTAAGATCTAGGCAATAGATCAGTAATTTGTGCCTTTAGGTTTCTTTTTTTTTTATTATTGATTTTTTTACAAAGAGGAAGAGAGAGGGATAGAGAGCTAGGAACATCGATGAGAGAGAAACATCGGTCAGCTGCCTCCTGCACACCCCCCACTGGGGATGTGCCTGCAACCAAGGTACATGCCCTGGACCGGAATCGAACCTGGGACCTTTCAGTCCACAGGCCGATGCTCTATCCACTGAGCCAAACCGGTTAGGGCTGTGCCTTTAGGTTTCAGGGGAGACATTTTAAAAGACACTAATTGACATTTATATTTTCATTTTGCAACTTGCAAAGAAGAAATGGAACATTTATGCACACATGACAGCTTAGTAAATATTTTGGTTCTGAATTTGGGAAGTAGTTTTGATGCTGAAAAATATATTAAGTACAGTTTTACACAAACTTTTAGGGGCTCATTTTTAGCTCGCCTAAGCACTTGAAGTATCTTTCCTCTAAATAGCAAACTATCTATAATAATAAAAGCGTAATATGCTAATTCGACCAGACAACCGAACAACCTTCCGGACATCCTTCCGGACGACCTTCTGGACGAAGCCTGGGCTGCGAGGGCCGAGGCAAGCGGCCGCAGCTGCAAAGGATGAGCCCCTTGCACGAATTTCGTGCATCAGGCCTCTAGTTGCATTATAAATGAGAAAGATACACCTGTGATGAGAATAAACCAAGGAAAAACTATCTCGGACTGTTTCTCCTATCTGCTTCTGAACATGCTAAATGTACTGCAAATTACACAGAAAAATTACATTTGCCTGTGTGTTTTTCTATTAAATTTTGTTATTGTTTTTTTTCTTTTTTTCTGTCTGTTCTTTCATTCCCTTTTTTCCAGTCCCACCTCCTAATATCTGAGATGAAAGCCCATGAGGAAGCTGAGAAAAACTAACTGTAGAATACAGTTATATTTATTCTTAAGGAAGCAATATCACAGAATAGGGACCGGCTCATTCAGAGTATTAAGTCTTTCTCAACAGGAGAACTCATGTTATAGAAGCCACTACGTAGGAATCTAAGGCACCTTTCCCTAAGACCAGGCATGGATCTGGCGGTGATGGAACGGAGCAGCAAACAGACACACTGTGAATGGGGTGAGGGCATTTGTGAAAAGGGGTGACAGGGGCCAGTTTCCAGAATGCCACTATAACCGAATACACCAGGACATATTTCTTAGGTGGAGCTGTTTTTCCTGCCTGGCCCAGCCACGGATCCCGGGCCTCCCACTTCATGGAGCTGGTGGGAGCTGGGAAGGGTCCCAGGGGCCCAAGTCCGGTCTGAGCCCGGGCACCTGAGCACCCACTGGCTCAGCCACTGCCTCCCACTGGTTGTTTGCAGACGCTCCCCAACCACTTCCCAGGTATCTACATCCATCAGGGAGCTCCGGCTGGGGTCACGTCTGGGTCATTCATACCACAATGGGTGGAGTCACAGAAAAGCAGGCCGTGTCAGAGTGTGACCACAGGAGGGACCACCAGACACCCTCTGAATGAGAGACTGGGCAGACGAGAACGCCCGGTTCGTGCTAAATTTACACGGTGTCTTTCTGAAACGCCCAAACCCCGCAGGGAAGCGGGGGGACAGAGGACTAACATATCTTTAGCAAGAGGAGGTGCTTCTGAGCACATGGCTCACGGTCCCATGAGGTCAAGTTCAGGGGCGCCCAGGCCGCTAAGGGAAAGCAGAAGGTCACCTGCCTGGGTGTCTTTTTCTGTTGTTGTTAATCCTCACCCAAGGATATTTTCCCATTGATTTTTAGAGAGAGTGGAAGGGAGAGGGAACAACAGACAGAGAGAAACACATCTATTGGTTGCCTCCTGCATGAGCCCCAACCAGGACCTGGGCCAGGGAGGAGCCTGCATCTGAGGTCCGTGCCCTTGACCAGAATCAAACCCCGGAACCCTTTGATCCGCAGGCCGATGCTCTATCCTCTGAGCCAAACTGGCTAGGGCTCTGGGTGTCTTATAGGAAGGAACTGGGCACCATGTACCTTATACCCATGCCCTGGCTTTGCACTGCACCTTGGTCCTCGCTGCCTATTCCAAGCAGCCTTGCGTCTCTGGGGAAGCATCCAGCGTGCACGGACCTACGTTAGGCCTGGGGCGCTTATAGCATATCTGGTCGATATAACTTTGTTTCTCTCTCCTTTTCACCTATTTGCTTGGGGTTGAGGGGTTCAGTCTCTCCTACGACTTGCATCTGCAGGAGGGCTCCCCCTGTGCGCCAGCGCAGACCCCGGAGCCCAAGGAATTTTTATATTTATTACAGAGAGAGGCAAGCATCCCCTCCGCCTGTTTCCATAAACACAGACGGGCAATTCATGTGTTTGGTTCAAAAGCCTGCAAACATTCGTACACCCATTTGCACGTTTAAATGGCTCCGTATAACAGTCAAGCAGGTGGTTAACTATATGTATATTAAATTCATA